CGATATTAATTGACGCATTTGTCCAAGGCCTCCTACCATAAGCTGGCTGCCTCTGCGCCTCCATGGAGTGCATATTGTTCCCGTTTCTCTGCCTGTAGACGGCCGGCGTCAGCCGACTGTTGTTTATCTCTGTCTCCTCACTCAGGAGAAGTAGATCCTCCAGGCTGGTGGAGTCGCTGCTGGACACCAGGGAGCACATGCTGGAGGTGCACAGCGGCGGGACGGTGACGTCATCCCTCAGCCGGAACAGCTGCTGGCCCAGAAGTCCCTCGAAGCGCGTCCACAGCTTTCTGATTGGTGGGAATTTTTGGTTAGGATTGTAGTAGAGTATAGTCAGTAAACTCTCTGGTATGATATAGTATGTACAGAGTAGAGTAGAGTAGAGTAGAGTAGAGTAGAGTAGAGAAGAGTAGAGTAGAGTAGAGAAGAGTAGAGTAGAGTAGAGTAGAGTAGAGTAGAGTAGAGTAGAGTAGAGTAGAGTGAAAAAAATGGTGAAAATGGTATAGGTTGAACGACTCCTATAAAAACTATTAGGTCATTTCAGAGAGCGGAGAGCGGTGGGGGACCTCCTAGTTTAACGTCCATCTCCTAAAGGACCGAGCCACATGGGAAATTCGTGTGCAAAGTGCCGTTCCCAAGGACACAAAGTCGGACCGAGCTGAGGCTCAAACCCCGAATCTACAATCTCACATTTACGGGTCTGGTTTCCTCACCACTAGGCTATCGACGACACTCACAGTTTTCTGATTGGTTGGAATGTTGGTTAGGATTGCTGTATAGTATAGTTGGATGACCTTTTAATCAATAAACAGCTGGAAAGAACAATTGAGGCGACAGAGTTGTTGTTCATAAGACGCATGCTGCGTATCCCAGGGACAGCTAGAAAAACAAATGAAGAAATCTTGGTTGAAGCAAATTGTAGTCGACAGCTAATGACGAATATACGAAAGCGACAGGCACATTTCATTGAACACTATGCGGAAAGAAGTATTGGAGAGTATTGTAACAACAAGCAAGTTTGAAGGAAAGAGAGGCAGACAGAGGGAAAAGATTCTGGACAAATTGACAACATGGCTGTGAGCAGCAAGAACGACAGACACCATTGCTGCAACGCAAGACAGAGTGAAGTGGAGGTCCATGATCGCCCTCGCCAGTTGGCAAAGCACCGGATGATGATGATGATCTTTTAGCGTCTTGACAGACGATAGTTTGAATTTTACAATAAATAATTTCTTTCGTTGCCAAAGAGAAACACGCGTGAGTGATTGGGTAGTACCAAAGTAGCCTATCAAATTGCACAACTATCTCCCAGATCACCACAATAATCGAGGAAAAGGGAGGGGGGGGGGAAACAAGAGCAAGGCAACGGTTGGACAGCTGGGTTGTAGTAAAGTTCAGAATGACATTTTTGCGTCTTGACATATTATGATTGATTTTAATCTGAGTCAGTAATGTAGCCGTATAGCCTTTCGGTGTCGCACGCAGGAGACCCCAGTTCGATTCCCGAGTTGGGTGAATTTTTATCGAGCATGCCGGTCTTTGTTAGCAGTACTCTAAATAGCTGTACTGTTTTTCACTTTTAGGTACACAGTTTAGATCATTTAGGGTTCTCCCTGAAGCAAGTCATGTTCGGGACATCACATTGGCGAATCGAACCAGGCCCATCTGCGCGGAAGTCTGGCATGATACAAAGTGAGCTAACAATGAGCTCACCCATCCGTTTAGAGTGCCTATACTAATGTAGTAAGCCAAACAGAAACTGTTCTAATTACGAAGGAGAGCTTTGCGTTTGCACACTACCTTAGGGGGGGGGGGAGCTCTAGTGGCCTAGAGGTTAAGGGGTTCGCCTCTCATTCAATAGGTCCCGGATAGCGACGGAAATTATTTCTTCTCTAAAATCGTCTCCTTTCCCCCCTTTCCTGTTTTCTAGCAATGTTCAGTCGTCTGCTTTCTTCCCCCCTTTCTGCCCCCTCACCCCTTCACCTCCTTTGCCCCCTCCTCTGGGCTCCTGACCCTTTCTACTGCTACTCCTTGGCTCCTTCTTACTGCTGTCTTTCAGCCACACCCGTGATCTTCAGGTAGGAAAGACCTCATATGACCGTATGCAGTTACGAGCGCAGTAAAACACCTTACCCCCCCCCTCCCCAATCAAAAACAACTCTGCCTTACTCTCATTCTGAGTTCGCACTCCACCCAATCTCTGGGGCAGTGCTCACTTCTCAGCGTGTCTTATAGATTCTAATTCTATTATCTGTCCTTCTGTCGTAATCTTGAAAGTCCGTTTGTTTGATTATAAATACAAGACATGTAACAGTATTCAAATACAAAAGTCATATAGGTGGCGAAAAGCCCCCAAAATCCCCCAAAACAAACGGATTCCCAGATTAGGTGATCAGACTCTAATTAAGAGGGTGCCACTATGATAATGGTAGGTAGGTCTTTGTTTCTTTTCACTTTCCTGTGTTTTTCTGTCTGTCTTGCTTTTGTTTGATGTAGAATGATTCTAGATTTAGATTCTAGATCTAGAACTAAATTTAATGATCGTTAGTGTTTTGATGTAGATCTAGATCTAGATCTACTTGAAATTACAAATACAAACAAACAAACAAACGAGCAAACAATCCATGTTTAAAAACAAATATTTTTTTTCAACATCAGCTTACCTTAACTCGTTTTCATCCAATGGGAAGTTTGAAGTCATTGCACAGAAT